AAGAGGTTTCGTACTTACTCTTTAGGCAAAGGATGCATCAACTAATGAACCAAATGTTCAGGTACATCTTTTTTATTACAATTAATTAAATACTCTTACATTATTTACATTCTAATTAAATCTTTAAGTGAATGAAAAATAATAATCTTCTCAATGAAATGGTAAATGCCATATGATAATTAAAAAATTATCCATGTGGCATGTTGATATAAAAATTTAAGAAGATATCTTTTTTACATTTTAGGTTTTTTTTTTATTTCGTGATATCTTTATTTTAATTTACAAAAAGAATTAACAACGTCAATATTTTCATCCACGTAAAAAATTAATTGGGTGTAAATAATTGTATGAAAATTCAATGAATTATAATAATAACAATAAAAACTCTGATGATAGATTTAATTAAATTCAAGCACTTTTTTTGTTTTTAAACCTTTTACCTTTCATTATTTTTCTTTTCAATATGGTAATTCATAAACTACTATAGTTGGATTGGGCCCAGCCCAACAATAAAACCCCAATACTTAGTTTATCCTGTCTTTCAACAGTCCGCCTGTAACCTGTTTCTCCGTGCTCATCAATTGTTGCGAGTTGGGAAATGAAAATGACTGTCACATAACACAGAAAGAAGACAAGGCAAACAATAGGCTTCCATTCCATTTCTTTGCTGAGGGCCTTCAACCCATTTCATTTGTCCTAACTCCAAAGTACAATAATTATTATTTTGACGATTTTTCCAGGCACCTTGGGATTACAAAACTTCACCTTTAAATCCCCATGGCTTCCGCTCATTTGCTGTGTAACCATAATCTCTTCTTCCCTCCTTCCTCCAAAAACAGTCAACTGTCAATTACTCCCCAAACAAAACTTCAATCTCAAAGAACCCCATTTCTCAAATCATCCAAGAAACAGCTAGAGGTTCTTCTTTCTTTACTCTTTCTTGGTCCTGCTCTGGATTTATGTTAAAAAGTTAATATTTTGAGTTGGATTTTATGAGTTTAGTTTATTTTATTTTGCTTAGATTGTATATGACCCTGATAAGAGGCTAAACAAGTTAGCAGATGAGGTGGACAAGCAAGCTCCTTTTTCTAGACTTATATTGTTCTCACCTTGTAAGGTAATTTATTCTCTTTTCTTTGACTTGACTTGATAACTTCTGAGCATTAGTTTTTCAAATTTTGTTTTCAATTGTAACAGCCCATAGCTTTTTTTTTAATAGATTAATGTTTTCTTGAGAATAACCAACAAAAGGGAAGATGGGTATCATGATTTAGCATCTCTCTTTCATGTAAGTTTATAACTTTTTGAATTGAAATATATGTATTGCTATTTTTCCCATGAATTTTCCTATTTGGCCCCCAAAGTCTGATTTTGGCCCATTACCTTTGTTTGTGGATCCAGACAGTTAGTCTGGGGGATATAATTAAATTCTCTTTGTCACCATCCAAAACTAAGGATCGTTTGTCAACCAATGTCTCTGGTGTCCCCCTTGATGATAGAAATTTGGTGAGGTTTTTAACTAACTGCAATCTGTTGATTCGCCCATCCCCAGGGTCCCCGTTTTCTCTTGTTTTCCTAAATTTTTGTTCCTTGTTGCAGATTATTAAAGCCCTTAACCTCTACAGGAAAAAAACTGGCAGTAACAACTTCTTTTGGGTTAGACACGAGATACAAGATAAACTTTGAATTTCTATGTTTGATTTTAATATATATATGTGCTTCTGAGAAATTAGAGTTTATCTGGGAAGCCATTTTATTGGTTATATTCTTTTTGTGGAATTAAATGGCCAGGTTCATCTTGATAAGAAGGTGCCTACTGGAGCAGGGCTTGGTGGTGGAAGCAGCAATGCAGCAACTGCACTTTGGGCAGCTAATCAGTTCAGTGGTTGTATTGCAACTGAGAAGGAGCTTCAGGAATGGTCAAGTGAGATCGGTTCGGATATCCCATTCTTTTTCTCACATGGAGCGGCATATTGTACTGGTCGAGGTGAGGTATGTTAATAGCATACCTTAATTATCGCTCAGAGATGTTAATTTGTTTCCTTTTGTATTACAACCTTTCTCTTTGATTGCAAAACACATTGTCAAGAATGTTTTGACTATTTTATGTGTTAGGGAATAAGGCCAGTTTTATAGTCCGATTCTGACAATACCTTCAGTTCTTGCATTGCCTTTTCTCTTTTCACTGATACAAGAACTATCATTTGAGTTGTGCAGCACATTAGAGGGTCATTTCTGACTTTTTGTAGTTCCCATTTCAAATTGTGAATTCAACAAACTCTAACACATATTCAAGTCATGCGTTTTTTCGGGGTTCTTTAGCACATTAGAGTGTCATTTCTGACTTTTTGTAGTTCTCATTTCAAATTTTGAATTGGACAAACTCTAATGCATATTCAATTCATGCCCTTTTTTTCTGGGTGTAAATATAAAGATGAAAAGCTCATTGTGCCCATAACTAAGTTTCCTTTGATCCTTTAGCGCCTGAATTTGTCAGAATATTTTGTTAGGACTGGAAGTACAACTCATAGACTTACTGTATAATTGTATGCATATTTATTTTTAGAGCGGAATTTTTGTGCCTGGATCTGTCTTCTGATAGTAGTTATTATGAGTTTGCACATAATTATGATGCAACCTCATTCAATTGGAATGAAATTTATAGACTCTGTTGCTGTACATGCATGGTTAATGGACTCTGTGCTGATACGCCCAGGTTGTTCAAGATATATCCCCACCTCTTCCTTTGGACATTCCAATGGTTCTTATAAAGCCTAAGGAGGCATGTTCCACAGCTGAGGTTTACAAGGTAATATATTAGGGCAATGCTGAACAAAATTCTGTACAACTTTTATTGCTTGCGGTGGTTAATAGCTAAGAGAAGTTCTGATTTCTCAGTGTCTTCGACTAGATCAAACTAGTAAGGTTGATCCTTTGGCATTGCTGGAGAAGATTTCAAGGAATGGAATATCTCAAGATGTCTGTATTAATGATTTGGGTATGAATACTTGAAGAATCAATGTGTCTTCTCTTACCTTTTTCTCTCTTGATGCATATATAATCAGGTGAAGTTTCTTTCAGATGATAATTGACTTAATTTCTTGAGAGGAAGGTTTTTGGTGAAACATTAGAGTATATATCTCTGTCACAGCCTTTATGCATCAAATTATCCCTTCTTCTCATCTTGAATCCAAACTTTGAACTTAATTTAGGTTGAGTGAGTTTATAAATATGCTTATTCTCAGTGGAGGTCAAAGTGAACCATACTAAGTGTAGAATTAGAGATGTATTGCCTTACACGAATCTCTGTATATTCTTTGCAGAACCTCCTGCCTTTGAAGTTCTACCATCTCTTAAACGGCTCAAGCAGCGTGTAACTGCAGCTGGTCGTGGACAATACGATGCTGTTTTTATGTCTGGGAGGTATAATATGTGCAGCACCTCTTTAAATTTTGATGTTTTTCCCTGCTTTTACTGTAAACTTATGTTCAGACTCAATGAGACCTGATATTTTGCGCTTAAACAGATGGGCTAGGGAAAATGTGTGAATAAGTTGTTAAACCAATCAAAAGGAGTCTTATGCCATAATAACAAAGGAGCTGCTAATTGCACAGCTCTGTTGTTGAGTGTCATTTGAAAATCCATATTTAAAAAAAAAAAGAATGAGAAAAAAGAAACATATTCAATTTCAAATTGTTTGAGTCATCAGTTTTGGCAGTTTATTTAATTATATGTTAATTAGATGTATGTGCCAGTATATATTTTGTGGGTGCAATGGCTACACCTACTTTTCTTGACACACCATCCAAATATCTTAATTTCTGCAAAGTGAGCACTCATTGCTGTTTTTCAATATACATAATGCAGTGGAAGCACCATTGTTGGAATTGGTTCCCCTGATCCTCCACAATTTGTATATGATGATGATGATTATCGTGATGTATTTTTGTCAGGCAAGTCGCAAATAATTTATTTGAGTACTCATTTGTCTGAGCCCTTAAGGCTTTTACTAATATCTATAAATATCTGGACTTTGTGTTCGAGTCCAACCAAATGATGGAAGGTCCAAGTTCAAAGCGAAAATGGCATTCTTGAGTTTGTACAGAATATTGATTTGTTACTTAATATTTTTTGTTTGAGGTTTATGGACTTTATTTTATCAAATTACTGATGAGAATACCTAGTATGAGGGTAAACGTTGGTACCTTTGTTTGCATGATTTTATGTTGAAAAATAGGTTGCATGAGTTGATGGACCTTTTTATCTAAATGCAGAGGCCAAGTTTATTAACCGTGAAGAAAATGAGTGGTACAAAGAACTTATTTCAGTGACTGTTTGTCAACCCCCGGAAGCATCACAAACTCCTGAGTGATTCATCCTTACTGAAGACAAGACGTAAGGATGGAACTGTTTTGGCTTGTATGATCTACTTGTAATACAACAGCAATTGATGTGTTTCTGAATGCTATCAGACTATGTAGAGTTAAATGTCGAGTTGCAGTGAGCTTTGGGTGTGGAAAAATGGGAGAAAAGGATTATATATTAATTACCCAAAATTTACCTCAGAAATTAAGCACTGAAGGAAGAGGCCAGTTGCAGGCAGAGAAAACCTGGAAGTGGATTTTTCTACCCAAGGAGCTAATACTAAGTGAAGCTCCCGTAAGTTGAAATTCTATGCAGGCAGAGAGGTACAGGAGTAGGGAAATTTTTAATGCTTTATGTTGGACAAGTAGATGAAGTTTTTCTCCAAGAATGATTCCATTTTTCTTTTCCTATATTTCGTATGATGCTATTTTTTTTTTTTTTTACTTTTTCACTTTTGGAAAGTAAAATGAGTATGATTAACTGAATGTAACATAAAATATAGATAAAAATCAGAATCAAAATTTTAATTTTCGTTAAAAGCCCCTCAAGAAGGCCTCTTGTCTGTTTTTGGTTCCATTTTTACTCCCCTGTCTAAACCAAATGATGATAGTGCATGAAGTAATGGCATATAGAGATTGAAAGAAAAGAGTACTCAGGTGCTTTTTCCCACTGAAATGATATTCACCAGCAATCAACACATTAGCATCACAAGAACCAACACTAACACCAAATCCAAGCACATTGCGTCTTTTCTTTCTTTAATTTTATTTCATAAAATCTTTTCCCCACCCTAGAGTGAGGGAGAAGAAACAAACTGCCTGGGTAAGCTAAAAAGATCTTTCCCTTCAAATGGTGAAGTCCACTCATGCGAGCCTGCAGTTGAAGTTTCTGCAGGAGCCACTCCAGCATCCTGCAACCCCGCAATGGGTACAACGTTCCCATTAGAAGGTGTCAATCTCATAGCTGGTTTAGCACTTAATCCATTTGTATTAGGATAATACATGTGAGCACTCTTCATAGGAGATGTCGCTCCCAGCCAAATTCCACCAGGCCTTGGAGAAGAAGACAACCCCCGATCCAAGCTCCAATCGATATTATTATAGTCCAATTGTGTCATTGAGCTACCACTGCTCCAGTCAACTGGAGAAGAGGCTCCTGATGAACTGGTAGAACCCAAACCGGTGAAAAGTCCAAGTGAAGATGCAGCCGCAAGTGTTGGTGACGCGCCTGTTCTACTCCATAAACCATTTCCTCGGCTTGTTCCTGGAGAATCTCCTGGACCATTGCTGGATGCAAAGTGTTGCTGTTGTGGATAATAAAGCTGGTGATGCATCTGATTTGAACTCATATTGTTAGAACTAAGGCTTCTAGCACTCGGAACATGGGGCATAAAGCCATTAGACTTTGTAATTTCAACACTACTAGTAGGATACATAAAGGAATTTGTTCCAGGAGGAGATGAGCTTATACTTGTAGCTGGAACCTGCTTTGTATTTACAGATTGAGGTCGCTGCATCATTATAACCGGTTCCCTAACTGATGGCTGGAGGTTCTTAAAATCACTTCCAACAGCCACATAACGGGAATCTGTCTTTGCTGGAGGAGGTGAGGCCTGCAAAGGTGATGCCAAGGAATAAGAAACAGAAGGATTTGATACAGCACTTGGCCACCTTTTCTCAGCTGGTACCGCACTTTGTTGGGGTTTTGCCCATTCCAACTTCGGTTGTATTCTCTTCAAAGGCTGGAAACTTTTACTCACAGATTCTGAAGAACCTCCCACTGTAACTGCTGCTTTTGTATAGTTAAAATCCTTTTCATCCCTTCTTTGCTGTGTTGCAGGAGATAGATTTGGTTTTGGTTGTGGCCTTACTGATAAGTTTTGACTAGCTGCCACTGACACCTTATTAGTACTAGGAGTCAGGGAATCACATGTTTCTTCTGACCTTGGTGGAGGAGCAGAAGGTGGCTCCTGCTTCGAAGTTCCTAAAGCTTCTGCTGCTTTATCAAGATCACCTTCAGCAGCAACAACTGCTCTTTCAACCTCCTGCTTTAAGCACTTGTATCTGATTTCCATATCTGCAATCCGAGCAAGCTCTTCTGATATGTCAATTTTCAAGTTCCCACAACCAATAGTTGGTTCCTTATGCTTAACAGCTTCTTCACCTCCTTCAAAAAGCCATGCCACAGATTCCTCCACTTTGCCTTCATTCAATATAAGAGCCATTGTTGCCCGATCATGTGAAAATCCCATTGCTACAAGCTGCTGAGCAAGAGCTTCAAGCTTCCTTGACATGAGATAGCCACTGCACCGCTCATGCAACTCGTGAGCTCGCCTCTCTTTCTGACGCTGATGTTTCCTCTCATTCTTTTGACGAATTTTTTCTCGTTTATCATTGTCAGCTCCTGGTATTATTTCCTGCCGAATGGGAGGATTAGATGTTTTCTCTTTGTGATCTTCTGACTCACCTGACCAACTACCATTATTAGATACAGAATCATACTCAACAACAGCTACAAGTGAGCCCCCTGAATGCTCATCTGTCTCATCTATGTTTCGAAAACGACCATTGTTTTGAATGGGTGAAGCAGAAGATGATGGCACCGTTTCAATGGTATGGAATGTTCCCAAAATTGGATTATATGCACTAGCTGGAACACCACTACCTGCATTAGCAGGTCCTGAAGGCTTTGAAGAAGCCTTCTGAGATTCCTTGCCAGCTTTTTTATCCTTAGACTTAGACTTGGACGCAGGAGACATCTTTGTGGCCAAATATAGTCCTGAAATGTTTAAGACGACAATTTCTAACTCAATAATGCATAAAAGACTCAAGCAATCAATACTCAGCGCTGGCAATAGCAGTGGTAATTTCTCATTTTCTGTGGCATGTCACTCAAATAGGTCTAAAAGTGAAGAAAGCCAAAACCAATGAAAAGGAAGAACGAAATAAGAGTTTACTTCTCAAAATATGTTTATGGAATATACAAACCTAGATAATTTTGACAATAAAAAAATATGTGTTGGAATCCAAAAAGCTCCAACTATTATATTGATTCCAGGAAGCTATTATGCTGCAACCAAAAAATACAATCTTGTGCCTGGACCCCAAGTTATAACTGGCATCCAGTAGAATGAAGCAAATTAAAATATAAACCTAGAACTACACCCTGAGTAACAGGTTCCAGACTCAATGAGCAACATGTCATATCCCAATAACAACATAAGATGTCCAAAAATTACAGCAAGCACATTTAATTTGTATTGTAGACCAGTATCCCTAATTCATTATCAAAAAGATGTTCACCCATCAAAATACAATAAGATCCATTATCGTAAGAAGAATTTAAAAGGGAAGACCAGAAAATAATAGATGATATATGTAATAATCAAACAATCAGTGCAAGTACACTATATTAACAGAGTATCAAACTCCCAAGACATTCATCTGAAGAAAGATTTCCTTCAGATAACATAATAATAATTCCATTTTACAAATGTATCAAAGAACGACAGGAAGGACAAAACAACAATTGCAAAGATCTTTGAGAAGCCCTTCGAAGAATGGTTTCTCACAGATAAATTCTGAAAATAGCTCCAACGCAAATAAGTTGTTACTCTCATCGTAAATCAAAATTCCAGATACATACTATGGGCTTGCAACTTAAAGATATACGTGCTTATAGGAAAGTTTTTTATCCTTGGTCGTCAATAGTAAATTTATTGGCATAATGTTAATCTCCAGTTAGAAATAATTTAATTAACCAATTCTCAAGTTTTTTCCACCACCGTCAAAGGTTACATTTAGTGCCTACTTCTTGCTTGTATCTCAGATTGATCCATGATTCAGAAAAATAAAATAAAATGAAACCTTCTGTTGCTTTAACTTTTCTCTATGATGCCCTCAGCCATTGAGAAACACCGAAATAGTCTCATCATGATGCTTCCATATCGCACTTAAAAGTTCCAATTAGAACCTAGCTCATCAAATTCAGACATTAAATTCTTGGGTTTGCACTAGAATGAAAAAACTCCAGATTTTGTTTGCTTTGCAATGGGAACCTCCATTTAGAGACAGTTGTAGAAAGTGATATCATTTAGAAGCCATGACTGACGCTGGAAAAGTGCTTATAATTAACAGGGAAGAAACAGGAGAACAAAATTTTGGCAGGCCAATCCAGCTTGTTGGGAGGCTCCTTTTCTTCCTTTTTTATTTTTTTATGGCAAGAATGCAAACAAATTTAATCCCTAATCATATTTCCTGTGATCTGTCATCCTGCCTCACTATTTTTGAAAGTACTAACTAAATCCAAACTCAAAAAAACCTGTTTCTTCACTAGATTCTCCACATACAGTTTCGAATACCCATTCAATGCATTCTCCAAGTTTCACACTTTTTTCAATTCCTTAAAAGCACAAACAGAATTGTAGCCATATGATCACTAAGCATTGCACACTTTGCCTTAAGATGATTGAGAATTCTATAATCCAAAGAGAGAGAGAGAGAGAATTACACTAAAATCAAAGTTCACACAATCAAGAAGGAATTCATCGATTAGTTCAATTGCGGATTAACACCCCATGCTTTCAGAATTCTGATCACAAAGAAACCTATTTCGCGGCAGCCAAATTCACGAGAAAGAGACCAACAGATGAAAGCATCATTTTCGAAACATATTTCTAATAAACCCAAATTTTGGGTCCAAAAGAATATTTTAGCTTTCCATTTTTCTAAATCAATAATGCACGCATCTAAAAATCACATTTCACTTTGTTTTTTACTTTTCCTGATTCCAAAAATCAAGATTTCCACGAACCAATTCGATCCGGAAATTACCAAAACAACCCTAAAAACGGCGAAGAAATTCACGATTCATTCAACAGAACAATGCAGATTCAATGAAAATTTAAAAAAAAAAAAAGATTGAAGGATTCACGCACATGATCAATCAAACCAAATTTCCTACACAAAAGATAATGATTTCCAAAAAAGTTTTAAAAAAAAAATGAAAGGAAGAAATCAAAGAGGAAAACGCAGAAAATGGGGATACCTGGGTGAATGGAAGGGGGTGATGGATCGGACGATCGAGATTGAAGGATCGATGGTTGAGAGAGTTGGATGTGAAGAAACAAAAGGGAGGGAGAGAGAGATAGGTATTTCGAGGCCCAAACTGAATCGATGGAATTAGGGTTTTGTTTTGTGTTTCTTTAACAACAGAGAAAGAGAAATATGAGATTTCATTATAACCAAAATTCACTCGCTTATAACGGACCCCTTTTAGACTTGCCCTTTCTCCCCCTTATTTTTCGATCATTTTTTTCTTTCTTTCTTTTTTTTATTATTACCATCAATTTTATCATTACTTACTACAAGTAAGTTTAAATGTTATTAATTACTTGCATTATATTTTTATCCCAATTAGATATCAAGGGAGTTTAGGTTTAATACTCTAAAATCTTGTAAAATTTATGAGATAGGAGACTATCATTTTATTTGTGTAGTCTAAAATTATATGTATAATAACAATAATAATAATAATAATAAAACTTTACAATCTTAAAAAAAAGCTTTACAAATATTTTTTTATTGTTGTTATTTAAATTGATTGATACTTTATTTTCGTAAACATTTTCTTTTTTCATTTACAAAATCAAAAGCACATTACTTAAAAAATATTATTCCAACAATTTAAAAAAAATCCACTGATTCTTAAGACTTTTTTGAAAAAAAAGATAATAACATAATACTTTAAAAAATGTCTGAACTATTTGAAAAAATTTAAATAATTTTTTTATATTTAATTCAATCAAGTCATTTTATTTTTATTTTTAATGAAATATATCCTCACAACTAATTATTAACTAACTATTTTTAGTTAAAAGAACACTTGTCACTTTATTATATGGTGCTAATCTAACATATTGATGTGACATGATTACATGATTAAGTAATATTTTTTTTTATATCAGTACCACATGGGTATAAAATGAGAAGTAATATTTTGATTAATGATATTATAAAAACTTATTTAATTTAAAAGAAAAATATAAAAATTTAATTAAATATAAAAAAAATAAAGATTTATCTGAATTTTTTTAAATAATTTATAGACTTTTTAAAGCATTATGGCAAAAAGAAATAAGCCACTAAATTTTAGACCATCCATGTGTCAAGTGACCATCTAAGCATTTAAATTGAACCAATATCCATTAAGGATTGGACAATGTATTTTAAGATAAGGTTTGATTCGATTTGTCTCAAAATGTGTTTTATTATATTAAAGTTATTGATTAAATTATACTTTCAGTTCTATATTCTATTATTTGTTGGATTTAGTTCATCTACTATAATTCATATAAATTGAGTTCTAATACTTTTAAAATTTATTAATGTCATTCCAATCGTTAACAAGTTTTCTTCAGTTATTTTTAGATTCTCTCTTAAACACAATTAAAATTCTTTCTTGGAAAATACTTGGGAGTGCCTTTATTCATGGAAGGAAGCCAATTAACTCTTTCCAATATCTTGAGGAGAGAAGCTATAGCCGATTGTCTTCTTGGATGGCTTTTGGTCTTTCCTTTGCAGGTAGACTGACTCTCTTGTTTACCATACTGCGTTATACTATGCGAACGGTTTTTCTACCTGCTGAGGCTTGCAAGAAAATCGAAGCTCATTGCCATAATTTCTTGTGGGGTGGTGATTCTAGCAATGCCAAAGTGCAAAATGTGAATTCACTGAGTACTTACTGGAGTATGACAAGCATGCATATAATTTTTGTTTCTAATTTATTATTTATTTGCATTTTAATAAGATGTTTTTCAAGTTTTTTCTAATCGAAGATATTAATAAGTTGGATTTAATTATTGAGTTTGAATAAATTAAATTGATAATAAGTTAAATAAATAAAAGGAAAATGTTGATTAGTTCATTTTTTTTATTGAATTTCCTTATCCTGAAATTAATGTTGTGGACTCAACATTAACACCCTAAACATTTTACTTTTTCAACTCTTTAATGCTAATTAAGTAAAAAAAAAAATTAACACATGGCATATTTGTAGATGATGTGATTTCATGTCATAGAGGCTAATTAATGTGTTCCATTAAGGCTTAAATTGAGACAATCATTCACAAGATAGCATCAAACCTATTTTCTCCATTGAATAATTGAATTGAAGAAAGGGGTTTTTCTTGTTAGTTAATCTCATCCTCTTCTCTAGAAAATGTTTCCCAATTTATAAAGCCAATTGAGTCAACCTTGATTGTTTGACAGCTGCATATACTTTTCAGGGGTTTTCTCTTTTATATACTTTAGCCGGTTAGTGCAATGGGTTACATACATTACAGGGTTGAACAATTCTTGCCAGTCTGACTAAAATATAGGAAAAATGGCAATATTTAGTGAAGATCATAGGCATTAATCATATATTACATATATATATATAATAGTTAAAAACAAGCTCACCAAGTCTGACAACTTTTAAAAGGTGTCGGTGTCTGGGTTCCAACCAGCCTGTTAAGTCGGATGCAGGATCCCATTTTGTTGGAAAAAGCTTAAGGTTGTAGCCAAGCCGACTTCAATGGTTGTGTCACCGCAGACTTGTTTTATTGTTTGTCATAATTCAAATTTTCTTCATTACGTTTCTGTCATGCTAGTAATTAAGCCCATGTGCACAGTGCACCCAAACTTGTAGCTGTCCTCCTTGATCTATACTAGTTTTCTATCCGTGCGTTGCTGCGCGGTCAGGACGAAGTTTTGTTTTTATTCAATTATTAATTGTTATATATATTCATATTTTTTATTTGTATATCTAAATAAGATTATAATCACATTTATAATATATGAATAGAAATAAATAGATGAACTAAATTAGTTAAAATTAATTCATTGAATTATTTAAAAATGTTTAAATAAACTCATATTCTTTTGTTACATTTAATTAAATTTTCATATTTTTATTTCAAATTAAATAAGTGTTTATACTTTAAAGTTAACTAATTGTTATTAATCAAAATATTACTTATAATTTTATTTTACATGATATTAATATGAATATTGACATATTATAATAGAGAGTGACATGATATGTATTACATAACCCATAACATTTTTCACCTTCCATATTAATATTTTATAAATATAAAATAATAAATAATGTTTTCACCAATGATAATTTTTTTTATTCAATGATATAGGGATTTAATAAGAATATGAATTTATTTAAATTTTCTTAAATAATTAAATTTTTTTAAAATATTATACTTAATTGATTCTTTTAACATACATATAAATGAATTTATGTTAAAATAATCAACTCTTGCATCACAAAGAATTTTTTTATTAAAAGAAAATTTGAAATTGACTACTTTAATCAAAGTCATAATAAGATCTATTACTCTTTTTTGAAGATGTAATTTTAAGATTGTTTTATAAGTTTAATTAAAAATTACAGAAAAATTGTTTTCAAATTTTCTCAAAAGGTTAAAGTTTCAACCCATAAATTTCTAGTAAACTTAGCAAAAGACATAGCTGACGTGGCAGGAAAGCTATCTCCGAACAGTACAAGGATAAACATAGACCTATGTAAGAACACCGATAGGAGTTGGACCCGAAAATACCGGTCCGAGAACAGAGTCCGAGTTCACTAATTTTGAACTTATATTAAGTCGAAATTTTTGCGGGTTTTTTCTTTCCCTCTTTTTGTTCTTGTCTCTCTAGGGTTTTCTGCAATTTTTCTTTTTCTTCGTAATTTAACAAAACATGAGGAAGAAACTCGACACTCGTTTCCCAGCCGTAAGTTGTTTTTCTCTCAATTCTTATACACATAGCTTATATACGATCGCTTGGGGTATTATTTACTTTTACAAGTGTGTTATGAAATTTGTTTATCTTGTATTAATTGATGTTAATTATTCGATAGGCTCGAATAAAGAAGATTATGCAAGCTGATGAAGATGTTGGAAAAATTGCTATGGCTGTCCCTGTGCTTGTTTGTAAGTACTTTTGTTTTTTTTTTTTCCTCATAAGTTTTATTCATTGTAAATACAAACATAGTAAAAACCTAATTTATGCTTTGTCCGGAATAGTTAGAACTTGGATGTTTTAGTTTCGAATCTTTTGCAGGGAGTTGGGTTTTATGTGATGGGAGAGGGTTTTGAAGTTCAATAGACTTTCTCTATGTAAAAGAAAACTAATTTATCATTTATGATAATTAATGGCTGCAGCTAAAGCATTGGAGTTATTTCTACAAGATTTATGTGACCGAACATATGAAATAACTTTGATGAGGGGTGCCAAGACAATGAATTCTTTGCATCTGTAAGTGAATTTTTTCTTCTCCTTGTGTTGACATTGGGTGTTAGACATCAGGATTAACTTTGTTGGTTTTGAACTTGCAGAAAGCAATGTGTACGGGCCTTTAATGTTTTTGATTTTCTCGGAGAAATTGTTGGCAAGGTTCCTGACCTGGGTGGATCAGATACTGCTGGCAATGATCATTCTGTTGCCAAAAGAAGGTTTGGACTAGTTTTATACTTATAGGTGAATCAACTAAAGTAAGCTCGATATTCTCATATTGCTAATCCTTTTTTATTGAGCAGGAAAGTGGTTGACAATGATGACAATGCTAGTGGTGATGAGTCAAAGAGGAGAAGAATAGTGAGTCCTTCATTTTCTTTGACACTTATCATGGGTGTGCCCCCTTCCACTCTCCAACCCAATAGGAGTTGGGGGTGGGGAAGTACTTAATAGTTAATATGATAGAATGGAGCTACAAGAAATAAGAATGCACTTGCAAGCTAGAAAAAACTAATTTGCTGCAATTAGTGACCTGTTAACTTTAATTCTTGCTAGCAATTATAATTTGTGATAGAAGTTAGGTTGGTAAAAATTATGATGAAGTGAAGCATGACAACCCAAATATTGTGCTTATGGCCACTTTTTCTTTTTTGTAGCATGAGACCAGCCGTATTTCTAGCTGTGGCAGAGGACGGGGTAGGGGTAGGGGCAGAGGTAGAGGTCGTGGAAGAAGTAGCAGAGCAGCAGAGAGAGAGACAGCTGCACATTGTGAAAAGTTTGAAGATGATCCAGACATTTCTCATTGTCAAGAGAAGCATACTTTAAGCATTCAAAGGCTTGATGATCGGGAAGAGCCTGATGAATTGAAGAAAAATAATTCAGCTGGCAAGAACGTTGAAGCCCCAGTTGGAAGCTTTGACCTCAATGTCGACTTGAACGAGAATAGGGACTCAACCATATCCGTTGTTCCTGCTAGTCCAACAACAGACAGCTTACCTGAAAAGCAGGAGGAATACCCTGGTTGGTCACTCTCTGAAATTGAGAAGATGGCTATTGATCCTATTGAACTTGCTAATTTAAACAGGGGGATAGATGAGGAAGACTATGATGAAGAAGGATAAGCAATTGAATCTCTGCTTTCATGTGCGGTATTATAGTTGCCTTTCTCCTACATGTGCAGTTCTTTTCTTATATAGAGTAGAGTAGATTTTATGCTTTGAAAAGAGAAATATGGTAGGAAGCTTAGGAAGAAGCGAAACACTGAAGGGTACATTCTAGATTAGTCTGAAACTTTTAGCTTTTCTTTCTGATTTCCCTAGGTGTTGTACTAATATATGTTTACACTATATAAAACTAATTGAAAGCAGTTTTGAGTTCCTTAGTTCAGGATGACTGAGCAAAATTCTTTAACAAAAGAAAAACTTTTGTTCATGCTACTGTAGCAGAACTGTGGTGCAGACTGTTCATGCTACTATTAATATCAATATAGCTGACTCTATTTTAATGTTTGTCTTCTTCTCGGGGAAATTTTTTAAGTTAATTTGGATGGGTTAAATTAGCCTTATTTTATGGTCCGAGGTCTAATATTAGTAAGTTTTCATGCTATATGAAGTTCTTTTAGTGATGTAGTTGAGGTAGTTCTGCTTCTATTAATAGTATTCAAGTAGCTGCTCTTTCTATTCCTTTCTCTTGCAAGTGAAGAAGCCAGTCCCACTGCATTTGCTTTGTATGTCTATTGTGTTCTCCCTGAAGTTTCTCTTATGTTGGAGATCGATGTAAACATTGTTATGGTATCCAGGAGAGGGCTGAATCCAGCTTCCAGAATAGCAAGAAGTGGGAGAGTTCTTAGTCTGAATTAAGCCCAAGAGATGTTCAGGTTGCAGAGTATGGGAGAACATCATGCGAGAGGTGCAAAGGATGATAAAGCAACTCCATCCAATAGGTGCAAATTTTGCATAAAGACTGTGGAAACCCGATTGAAGGTCCTGGAAAATTGACCTTGAACATCCCGGAAGGTAGTCATGGAGATTATCTTCACATAGAAGGGAATTCTCCACCATGGAGATGAAGCCTTTATTGATTATGAAGGTGGAGAGGTAAACCATTCCTTGTCTTGTCAGGAAATTAATGAAGATATAATATTTGACCAAGTGTTTGATTAGTCCACAAAGAACAAGTTTAGTTATGGTTTGTCTATTTATTTAAACATGATGGGATATTTCTTGCGTTGGAAGGCTGTGTAACCATATGAAGATTTTATCATAATTGAGAGGTAAAAGAGAGATAACATAAATAATTATGTACTAAACTTTACATTAGTCTATATTGTTCTATATAAGTTTTAACACCACTGAATTTAATACTTGTTAAATCGAAAACCACATAAGACATAGTTACATTTATTTAAAGGCGGAACACGCCCTGGATATACTTGATATCCTTCCACATCCGATCTTCGGTCACCTGAATTAAAACAAAGACAATAGTATTACTAATAAAACCAGACCTGCAGGTCTATGCAATGACCATAAAGAACATACCAGATTCCCCAAGTACAGAAGGAAAACAGACAAGCAACAAGTGATGTAACTTTGTGTATGTACATAAATATGGATATAATGGCAACATAGCTGCTAGTGGCTATAGCTAAGTGACAGCCTGCTAATTAGATTTTAGGATTTTTCAACTTGGGAGCTCTTTTGTTCAAAGGACGTCCATTTTGCACTGGAAAGAAAAGATCACCATGACTAAGAGGGGCAGAGGCTATTAATCTCTAATGCTACATAAAGTTGAGACAATTACAATACAAGAATGAGACAATTACAATACAAGAATAAGTAAGAACATCATATGGTCCACCTTTATCACAACAGCACTAGATTGCACTAGATTTCTAGACAAGGTTACTTACTTCCTTTCTAAATAGTTTACTTTAGGTTTCAAATAACACTATCAAAACCATATGTGTTAAGCACACAGAGTTATGGAAAGGTTGTTGAGTTTAATAATACCTATACCGCTACTATACCTCAGTTTCACTTATCTCCTTAACATCTCTTGGGGGTTAACTAATAACTCATTTCCTCAATTGTCCCCCTTCAAATCTCATCCATTGAAATTGTCAACATAAAGCCATCCCTATCAGATTAAAAAATAGGAATAAAAAGATAGACTTTGTGTTAACAAGAACAAACATTGAAAAAATGAGCCTAAAAATTAAAATTCAACCCTCCTTCCCTCAGTTTATACTCTTGAGAAAAGTAGTTGGACCAGAAGCAAACACTAAATGAAGCCACAAACAAACACACAGAGGTTAAATCAATATGAAATCTAATAAAACCTGGAAGACCAAGCAAAAATCAATTAGCCTTTTCCAACTAGTATTGTTCATTTGTGGCTGAGGTAACATATCTACAATTATCTTTTAGACTAATAAATGGAAACAAAATTAAGGATGGGTTTGGGTTTACCCTAAGCGCTGGCGCAGTCGGCAGGGGCATCACCAATAAGCTTGAAATCTTGCAACTCCTTGAAATTCATCCAAGGCTTCTCCCACACCTTGGCTTCATAAATTTTCTTCTTGTCACCATCCATTACCTCCATTGTTATGTAATAGATAGTTCCAGCAACCACTTGCTGCTTTACGTTCACCACTTTCTTATACTCCAGCATCGCATTCTGCATCACCCCAAAACAATAAATAAATATAAAATGTAATTTCACACAATAATTTGAATTGGATTAAGACGTAAAATTGTAATCAAAAAGGAAAAAGAAAAAGAGAGAGACCTCCTTCTTGTTGTGTTCGTCGACTGCAAAACGAGCGAGGGTTTCGATCTCCAGACTATTGGCGTTTCCTTCAACCTCCGTAACTCCACCCACTGTTGCCATTTCTCTCTCTTTTCGATGATATGATTTCTTTTCGTTTATCTGTCGTGCAAGTGCTTGTGTTTTTATAGAAAAAATCAGAAGTAAATAAATGACAAACGAATAAGATTTTTACGACTGGCGGACAATGGCAACGGGGCGCGTCATCAGTACGCCCTTAAAAAATTCAAAGGGTCTCTGTTCTTTTCTTCTTGTGGTTTGTTGCAATCGCCAGCGTGTCTCCAATCAGCTGTTTCTTACGGAGGGCACTATTCCGCTCGGGGGATTGGAGGATTGGGGGAGTGCCAGGGGTGTCGAGGAAATACGATGGAATTGAAGGCAGGGTACCCAAACTCAACGATATTCCTTAACGCGTAAGCTTTTTGGGAGCGGTCAAAATCTAGAAAGGCCGATATCATGGATAAGACAAAAGACTTTATCCAGTGAGCGCCCACATGTATTTCCCCGGGATCCACTTAGCTTCTGGCGTAAGACTCGTGATGGAATTTGAATCGATAAGTTCACAATTCAGCCATAAAAGTTGAGTTGAAATTTAAGTTTGTTGACAAAAAATCTTTTTTGATTGTAAAATTATTTTAGTATTTAATTAATATTTAATAAAAGAACATGAATTTATTATTTTTTTCTCAAAAAATTCATAAATTTTGTTTAGTCAAACTATCTGTATACGAAAATTTCAATAATTTGAATAAAAGAAGATTACGGAACCAAAATAAATTTGTTCAAATGTTCAGACGAACAACATTCTAAATTTTAATTTTAAAATATTAATATAAAAATATTTTTAATAATAAAAAAAATCGAATACACTGAAATTTAAATTTTAAGAATGACAATTGAATTTCATTTTAAATTTTAAAAGCAATAATTGAGCTGGACTCATGAATATTTTAAATTTGGAGACTCGATTTTGGTTTGGGAGGAATACTCCCTACGATAACAATTTAACTACATGTTTGGTGGTGGGAAATGAAGTATAGTCATTTCTCTTATTCTTATTCTTCTTTTATATTAACATTTGGTTTACAAAATAATCATATTTTAAAATAATTATTTTAGAGAAATCGACATAAGTATAACCGACTTTTTTGATAATGGTTATTCCAACATCGTGACAAATAGGAAAAACATGATTGATAAAAAAATATGTCCTCAAGCAATTTTACCAACTATTCTCTATATAATACAAAACCTAACTTACCTCTTTAACCTATTGTTTAGTACTTGTTTGATCTGATTTTTTTTTAACTTATCTATCTTTTAAAAGTAAAATAAGACCAAACAAAATTTTAAAAAGCTCTTTAAAAAAACTTTTTGTTAAAAGAATAAATTGTTTAAAAAAGAACTTCAGAAAGCTCTCATAGGAGCTTTTCCTTCTCTTTTTTCAAAAATACTAAAAAATTTTATTTTTATTTTAAAAATATCTTTATCTGTTAAAAATAATTATAATATTACCCTCTTAAAAAATAAAAATTTTATGATAATTTTCAAAATTATAACTTATAAAAAAGAACTTATAAAAAAAATTACCAAACAACTTCAGCTTAATTTAAAAACTATTATTTTTCATAAAATTTTATAATAGCTTTTAAACTAAAAAAAGTTAGGTCAAACATACTCTTATTTTTTCTTCTAAAGCAAATGGTTGTCGTAGCCAAGGTCGGCCTTGATGGAGCACCAAGGGCTTTAGGCTCCAATTTAAAGAGGCTAATAATTTTATATATAATTATTATATTAAAAATATATAAAAATTAAATATTGAAGTATTTGACTTATTGGTTGGTACATGATTCATTTGGCTAAAAAATAAAATTCATATCCTTCCTTCTCAATTTAAATATATATTAAAAATATAAAAATATAAAATAATTAATAAAATTACCTATTTTCTCACTTTCTTAATTATGTGTATAATAAATCTCAATTTTCTATCATATTCTAATTTCTAGATTGCTATATTATTTTCAATCAACCAATAGTCATATGTATTTAATCATCTCCAATAATTATTGTTTTCTCACTTATTTTTCTTATTTTCAATCAACATATTTAATGATCTAAGAACATTTTTTTTATATATAAAGCTAGTTATTTCTTTTTCAATGTATAAAATCTACTTTGAATTCTCTTTTCTCATTTGCTATTTTTTCTTTCTTCTTTTAATTTCAATTTTCCTTCAAAGACTACGCAAGAAGTCTGTTATGTTATTATCTTCATAAAGTCATAAGCTTATTTGCGATTTGTAATAAGCATTCAATAATTATGTACTATTATTCTAATATTTACAAATATTTTTACTTTAATTTAGAATTTATATTATATTGTTGTATTGCTTTATTTTTATGTGATAGTTGATTTATTTGAATTAATAATTTTGATTGTTAATTTTGTATTAACCATTTAAAAAAATATTAAAATTTTACATCTTAAAATGTTAGAAGAATAAAAATTTAATGATTTTTTAATTTCAATAAAAGAGGCCTCATTGAATATTTCGCTTTAGGCCTTTGAACTTATTGAACCGCCCCTAGTCGTAACCCCATTCTTTTCACCTACTAATCATCCTTCTACACTACCTTAACGATTGTCCTCTCATATTCCCTTTTTCTATCTCGAGTTATTTGAGATTTATTTTTTAAAATTTTAGTTTTTCTCTCAAAGTCTTACTTCAAGTTAATACCAAAAAATGAGAAAAATCAAAGTTAACAATCATAAGGACTATCGAAAGGGTTGAAATGAAGATAGGGATTTCATGGATAAATTTAATAAAAATAGAATAATTAGGATAGATATTTGAAAATCAAGAACATATTTTGTTAAGGAATGAGATAATCATCTAAAAGTCAACCATCTATGCTATGAAATTGAAACGATAAGAATATTTAAGGATTTAGCACAAGAAGAAATAAGATAAAAAGATCAAAGTCTCCTACTTTTTCAGATGTTTACCTTAATATATTATTTAAGCCAACTCCATATGTAGTGGGATAAGTAGATCAAATGAGACCTCCAAGTTCCAATTCTTTATAACTTTATTTTAGGGTAAAATACTCTATTTTTCTAATTTTTAATCATAATTTCTTGGGGATCTATTAGTTTTTAAAATGGATAATTCACCTTAAAAAAATATTTTTTGCTAAATACATCATTCCAGTCGTTAGTTCACCATTAATGTTTCCGTTAGTTTGATGTGTAACAATATTGAAAGACAATTTTATACTTTATTAATTTTAAAAATTATCATGCTACATAAACTATAATTTTTAATTTTTAATTTTTTTCTTGTTAAAAAGAAATTCCCTGGGGTGCTCCCTAAACCGTTCATGTGTTCCCCAGGGAGCACAAATCCAATGCTCCTTGGGAGGCACCAGATTTGATGCTCCTTGAGAAATTCGATCGGATCTGAGCCAAATTTGGCCATAGGGTGGTCTGTCGGGATAAGAAACATCATTGACTAGTCTTAAAAAAGTAAAAAAAATAAATGAGAAAGACATTTTAGACATTTCAGTTTAAATATTAATGTCGTTTAACTATTTGGGGCAAAGTGTCTATTTTACAAATTAGTGGACTTATGTATAATTATGATTAAAAGTTAGAGATGATAGAGTATTTTACTCTTTATTTTATGATGATTACTAAAAGATGGTACTTATTTTTCTTCAACACAATATTCAAATAGACACTTAAATAATAGTTTTTTATATTAAATTGATTTACAAGTTATGCCATTTTGTTTATTTAGATATAGATAAAAAATATAAGACAAATTAGTACTACATTTTATTTAATTTTATAAATAATAAATCTAATTCAAAAGACATTTAAAAAGTTTATAAAATCAATATAAAAATGATTTTATTATTTTAATATTAAATAGGTCATACAAATTTGTACTTGTTCTTCAAGATCGTTGTCATAGTCTTAGAACTTTAACCAAGTTCCATTCGACGCTTAAGTTTTGTATATGAAGATTAAGCAAGCGCCTTAATTCGTAAATATGTGAAATAATATTGAAATGTGATAAGCATGCAAAAGCATAAGAAAATTGAAAAAAAAAAAACAAAAGAAACAATAGTTCTATTATTCCTTATAAGTTAAAGTAAAAAACCTAAAATTAGTGCTAAACAATCATAGGTTTGGCTTGCCTATGCTTGACAATAGCTCGATGAAAATTAAAGGGGTGGCAACTTACTGCACGTTTGGTATGGGGAATAGCTATGCTATTTCCCCTCTATTCCCAGCCATTTATTATACCTTTATTTGGTTTGGTTGTGCAATAAGGAATAAAAATTCTTCAGTAATATCTATACCTTAATATAAGTAAAAAGTCTTCTTTAGTTATTATCATTCTCCCCCTAGTATTATCTATTCCAAGACTCATGGAATAGCTGTGATATTTGGAATGACTAAATTACCCCTCTCAAATCTACAAAATTACAACCCTATCTATATAAAACATTTTTTTCTCTCTCTTCTTCCTTTCCCTCGTTCTCTCGGTCGTCTTTCTCTTAGCCGCTCTTCCTCCATCCCACTATTCCACGGTTTAGGGTTCCGCCAGTAGTGCTGTCTCTCTCTTTAAAGATATGATTTTCTATTTAATATATCAAAAAACATGATTTTCTATTTCTACTTGTTTTTTTATTTTTTCCCAAATATTTCTTCTCCAATATTTTGTCTATAGAGTATATTGAAAATGATTCATAATATGTGAAGAATTGAACAAAAATAAACATCTATGCACAAATTTAATTGATTATGATGGATGAAATATAATATAATTAAATTATAGTTTTAAATAATTATAATTATTTTTTGCATTTGGGATAAAATATAATTATGATGAATAATTGTCGTTTAGGATAAATATGTATTTAAATTATAATAAGGATAATTTTAATTTTTTATGAAAATAAATGTTAATATAATTAAGGTTATTTCTATCTTTTTATCACCTATTCCTTTCTTATTTCAATCTTATTTTTACCAACCAAACACTACAATAACTAATAATAACAATTTCTGCTCTATTCCATTCACTATACCAAACAAAATAATAACTATTCTATTCTATTCCTACTCTACTCTATTCCCACAGAATAATTATTCTATTTTATTCATGTCTATTCCGCGATCCAAACGTGCTATTAGTGCTTTATAATGAAACATAAAACGCTTATTTATAGTATGATAAACTATCTTAATCTTAAACTTATTTAAAATGCAAGTAAAATAAAATAAATAACATAAAAAGAAATATAAATATGAAAAATGTCCTAATTTTCATAGAACATTAACTTGTTTGCTGCTTTTCTTAAAAGCTAATGGATCACCCTCATTAGGGGTGTGCAAATGGTTATTTTAGTTATTTTCGATTTTGGATATCTGATAACTGAACTAACCGAATATCTAATAACCGAACTTATATTTAAAAATAATCGAAATTGAACCGAACTCTACAAATAACCAAACTAATTTAGTTAGTTTGGTTCAGTTTTCGAAAACCAACTCGAGAAATCTTTTATTTTTTTGTTTGTATATATTTATTTATATTGTATTTTTTTAATAAATCACTACTATCAAAATATTAAAAATGATAAAAAAAATTATAATAAATAAGATGAATACTCGTATATACAACAACAAATAATTAAAAACATAAATAAAAACAACAAGAAATAGTTTTGAGCAAGTTAGTTCAGTTAGGAAAAAACCTAATTAAAATTGAACTGAATTAATTTTAATAATCGAACTATTTAAAGAACAGAACTAATCGAGTCATAAAAATCAAACTTACTTTGGTTCAGTTCAATTATTCATTTCGGTTTGCATTTGCACACCCCTAACCCTCATACGAGTTGTCCTCTTGTATGCGGGTTGTTGATTCTTAGTGTCTATCTACTCGACCCTCATGCACACTGTTTCTTTGCGAACGGCCCATATCTGAGCAAGTCCTTCTAGCATAGCATGTGTGTGGTCCAATGGTGCATTGCCCTCTATCGTGTGACCCATTGGTACATGGTCTTTTTGTACATAACCCTCCCGTGCAAGGCATTTTAGTGTGTGCCGAGGATGTGCGGAGCTCTCTAGAATGCGGCCTGTATGCGAGTTGTGGCGCGATATCCTTTGGTGTACAGGTTGTGTTCGCACAACCTTTTAGTGTGAGGCCTCCTTTGGTGTGCGACATTTGCACAATTTCCATCTATGCAGTCCCCATGTGCATGCTTACCTTCAGTGCGGCACCCATGTGCGCGGCTTCTTTGTGTTCTGTGTGCGCTCGAGTCTGGTGCACCAAATGTGCTGTCCTACATTATTCTACATGATCCATTGTGTTTGCATCTTGCTCGTACGACTCAATGTTACTGACATATAGTATATTCGAAAATCCTGAATTAATGCTGATCACACGATTGTATCAATTCTCTTACAGCTATGTGGCACATCCTTATACAGCTAGCTCGATGGTCCAATCGAGCTGGATTGGTCACGGATTCATGGTCCATGACATTAGGCCCAGCAAAGTAGATGGAGAGCTGAAAGACCAAGCTTATGCAGGGAAGGGTGGTTCGGGAATTTCCCATACAAAATCGTAAGAAAAAAAGTGGGTTTCTCTCGTCGTCCGGAAAAGTGATCGACCGCGTTGAAAACAAACGTCCGGAATTAAGCTGAGAGGCAAAGCAGCTTCTGCAGTTTTTACAAGTTAGAAATAGTATGGAAGCTACGCCTGACGGAAATGAATCGTCGAGGGACGTTAAAACCCTATTCTCATTTTACTCCAACTATCTATGGAACCGACTCACCACTTTGTTTCCTTCTTCCCCTTTCAATTTTCTCGAGAAAATGTCAAATCTGTCTCGCCAAACGGCTCTCCCCATCTCAGCAAAACGCAGGACTGGTCTCCCTCTCCCATTGCCTTCCGACTCATTCAGCTCCACCACCCCGTACGGCCTCGACCTGTTCTTCATTTCTTTTTCAAAATTTATTGATTGAAAGTGAAAAGTGATGTGATATTTGAATTTATTGATTGATTTCTGCATGCAGGATGACGCCGGAGGCATCGAGAGTTTATGAAGTTCTAAATGATATAGTGGATCGCTCCATTTTGAATTTGCATAAAATTCAAAATAATTTGCAATTTTGGCAATCTAGAGCAGAGGTAAACTACCGTCATAAGCCTTAGTTTGGTTGTTAATTTGGTTAAGTTTGCTGCTTTTTCTTTTTTTCTAATTTGCTCAAATAGTAAAAAAATTCATAACTGACAAGAAATGATCAAATTTTTACTAATTGATTGCTGGGTTTGGTGTCACAAGTGTGTTACACTAATTCAGAGTATGTTACAATTGAAGATATATAAAGGTTTTTCTTTTTTGATATGTTTCTTGATACTTATCTAAATAATCAAATTCTTTATCTATGCCACCCACATGGTGCGTGTGCATAGGGCTAGTAACTAAAATGCAAACACCAATGATAACATGGTTAACTTTGTATTAAAATCAAATAATGTATTTTTTCTCTAAACTTGTAGTATCAATTTTTAATTCTTCAAATCACTTTTATCTGCATTTTTTTTGCTTCTGAAAGTGAAAAGCAATCAGCCGCGCCCCGCCCCCCTAAAAAAAAAATGGCACCTAGAATGGTTGTTATAAAGCAAAAACTAATGTATAAAGTAAAATGACAGTTGATTATAGATGGAAAAATGACTAAATTTAACATCAACGATAAGATAACTAGTCTATACAAAACTAAAATCATGCATTTTGTTATCCAAAAGATTATCTTTTTTATTTTTAATTCTACAAGAAAGTTGTTTGCTTTTGTGTTGGGAAGCAAAAAGCTAAAAGCAATGTAGTCAAGTGGTGTCTATGGCTATAATGTTGGTTATTGGCGTAAGTATTTATCCTAATTTTGTGATTATTTTCAGGGATCTAATGCTAGGAAAGTTTACTTCATGATTTTTGAGAGAGGGCCACAAGCATTTTTTAATGAAACAGTTCAACTCATGCGAGAAAGCGTTGCTGATGGTTCAGCAATGCAGCATTTTTCCCATTCTGCTTCTTCATACATTTCGGAAAGAATAGCTGTCTTATCTACCTTAAGGTGTTCAGTTGCTGTTTTTCTGGCTGAGGTTTGCTCCATCTTGTTCTTAGTTCTGTACTTTCATAATTTTACCATGATAAGGAAGCCTATCATCTTCAAATACTCCTTGCAATCTTATAATTTATTTTTCTTTTTCTGTTTCATTCAAATTTGCATAAACCACGGATAGACTTAACATATCATGGATTCATTTCTTGTTTGTCTGTCTAGTTTTATACGGAAGTTGACAAATGTGGAGAAGAGTTAGTGAAAGATCCAGCGAAGTCATTTCTCTCACTAATGGTTACTCTTAATGGTTTATTTTCAAAGTTGGAGGCATCAATTGGCCATCTACACGCCCTGCGTCAGGTAACCATATTGATATATATCTTTATATGATTGGATTTGCTTTTGCAACAGTTTCACTTTTATGGAGAGCATTTCACGACTTGCTGCTATGATTAGCTGGTTAAGAACTTTAGGATCCAATTTTCATGACAATAACTATGCAGAGTAATTCTTCTGTTGATGGAACCTATTCATTTCCCCTACTATTTGAGAAATTGCCAGAAATCAATCAGGAAGAGTCTCAATGGACAGATTGTGAAATTAGCGATGCTATCAACTTGATTTATAGGAATCTACAGGAACTGGACTCTTACTTAGCTCGTATGGTAAAGAATCCTCTTATCTTTAATCCTCTTTGTCACAAAAGCAGACAGTAATTTTATTAACTTGCATTTGATGATCAATTAATTTTGGGATCTGTTGCTTCTTTGCTTACCTTGCTCTTAGGTAGCTAAACACAAAAAGCCAGGGAAAGTAACTCGTTACTGGATCCGGTATACATGTGGTGCAGTTGGCCTTTCAATTTGTTCTTTCTGGCTCCTACGGCATAGTCGTCTGATGGGAAGTTCTGACATTGACAATTGGATTCATGAAGCAAGGGAATCAACAGTTAGCTTCTTTAATGACCATGTTGAGCAACCGGTACATTCCATTTTACTAATCTGATTGCTCAGTTGTTTTTGCATTTCTCTATATTCCAAGTCTCTTATTGACAATTTTTATGAATACGTGAGAATGGTTTCATTGATGTTAAAGACAATTTATCTTCAGCTTCTGTCAATTAGAGATGAACTTTTGGATACTTTCAAGAAGAGGCAGAAAGGTGTGATGGATATGGAGGAAGTGCAGTTGACTTCCAATTCTCTTCACAGGTTAATTTTTCTTCCTGCCAATCTGCATTCAAGAATATTGAATTAAAATTAGCAAGCAAGGGAAAGCGGTGGGGATGGGGGGGTGGTGTTTGAGGTTTAAGTGATAAAGAAGAGGTGCTTCCCTGTGTAGGTAAAGGCCCAACGCACCTACATATGTACAAAAACAATTGTACTTATTTTATCCTTTTCACACTGCTATAATCTTTGTTTGAGATATGAAAACAAAAGAACTTGGATTCTTCTATAGATGTAAGTTGCTTGATGTTTGTTCTATTTTGTTTTGTTGGTTTATTTGGCTTGAGGTTTCCTACTTCACTATTTCATCCCTTTCTGTATCTATGGTGATTGGATGTAATTAGGTTCTCGGCTAAAATACTAATAAGCCCTTGAACTCTTTCATTTTTTCTAAATAAGCTCCTATTCTTCTATTGTACGCGGATAGGCCCCTATTCTATGCTTTTCAACATGATAGCCCTTATGTTGATGGAAAGATATCTTGTATATCATGTGACTTTAATGATTATTAAGCCCATGGCCAGTTGTCATCTTCTGTGCACATGAATGCTGATGTAGCTTTTTTGACATGGTGAAATTGGTTGAGTGGGAGAATTTACCTTCGGAGACATGAATATTTGAGTAAGTGAATTTCACCACGCTGGAAAAGCCACCTTATCTACGACGTTCGAAGGATGCTGGCTAGCCATTAACCTAATGGTTGTTAAGATCACGTGTGTCAGATGACTTATTACCACCAAGATAAGGGCTTATTTGGGTAAAAATTAAAGAATAGGGGCTTATTTGGGTATCTTAAAAGGATAGGTGGTCTTCTGAGAAATTTGTGAATGTTCAGGGGCTTATTTAGTACTTTAGCTTAATGTTTTTTTATTCATTCTAAGGTAATTGCTATGTTCTTGGCTGCCATGATCAAGTGCTGTTTCTGAACATAACTGCGTTCATGTGGTTTGCAGAATGTTATTGGCCTTCAGTGAGCAGACAAAGGGTAAAAAATTACCAGAGAATGCATCAGATCAGGAAATGCTTGAGATAGTTATGGCAAGGTATGACTTTCTTTCTAATATTATGGTTAATGCAAATCATGTTAGAATTTGATAACTTATGACACACTTGTAGGACAGATCTGGCAAAATTTAACCATCACCCCTACATTTGTTAATAAGTTCATAGGAGTACCAAAATGGTAAGTGCTGAAACAATAGTGAAAAGAAAGAGATTATGTGTAAATAAGAGTTTCAGGATTGCTATGTTGGACTGATTTTTTACCTTTAAATAGTGTTTCTGCACACATGTAACTGTATGCATGCATATTCAAAGTCGTATATTTGCGTGCATGTGTCATAGAGACAAAGTTAGGCATATGATCATCTGAAGCAAGTAACAATATATAGGCACATGGCTATGTTCAGGAGAGTGCAAACGCTAGTGTACTTCGATAAATTTGAACTGACTATTTGTTTTGTATTTTATCTGTATGAATGCTCCAGGTGACAAAAATTGCTTAGACTGAAAAGATTAGTAGTAGTAAGTTTTTATAAATGCCAATATATCTGGAATATGTTGCATTCTCTGATAGTACTGGTTTTCCTGTTGATACCTTTAAAAAATTTTCAGAAGAAATATGTTCCTGTGATTGCTGTTCTGATATATTACTTTAACTGAACTATCATGGTATGGTGTATATCTCTTAGTTTGGCAAATTTCTTCTCCGAGAGAAAATCAAAATCATTGGAATTTCTAATGTAGATATGAAAAGGAACTTATGCATCCTATCCAGAATCTTCTCCATGGAGAGCTTGCTCACGCTCTTCTCATCCAGGTAATGCCCATGACTTTTACTATGTTGTTGCTGCCTGCAATGCTGGTTGCATAACCTTAAGTTCTTGCCATTGCAGGTTCAGAAGTTGAAACTGGATATTGAGATGTAAGTTTAACACCAGCTTTCTGCGTAGATGCGTAAATTTTGCTGATATTCTGGTGTATCTCAATGTTCTTACTTATTAAAGATGCTCATTTTATTAGGGCCATGCTTGAACTGGATCAGATTCTCAGAGCAAATGAAATCAACTTTGCGATCCTTGCTGCCTTGCCAGCATTCTTTCTATCTCTTGGTCTGATCGTAGCTGCGCGTGCATGGTTTAGACAGGTGAGAACATTCAAAGCTCTATAATGTATTATCTAATTAATTTCTTGAAGTCAATTGCATTTGTAGAGCAGTGGAGGAAGGAACTATGTGCTAGGTCTAGTTCATTAAACTGCTTAGATGGTTTTACATTTATCTTGCTACACTATGTATTCAACCTTTTACTTCCAACATGTGTAGATACCTTCTAAAGTCATTTACTACATTTGCTTAGGCCAGCAAACCATTCCTACTAATGATCAAGATTCTTATTTTCTTTGACTTGTTTTTCATGCTGTAAATTATCTGGCTTTTGTCATAATCAGGATACTAGAGCAGAAGGCAGGGGAAGAATTGCTCGGATCCAGAGGCGGCTGCTCATTGTGGAGGTTGAGAAAACAATTATGCAGTACCAAACTTATGTTGACCAAGGGCTGGTAAGAACCTTACTATTCAATAGCTTGGATGCTTCTTATTAAATTTCTCCTTTTCCCTTATCCACATGGGCTTCTCTTTTTATTACTCTATAGCTTATTGAAAAATCAAAGGGTTAATTTTTCTGTCTGGGAGTTGATAAGATTTTGATTCTGTGCAACCCATTTTCAAGATATAAGCATCTGAAGTTGTTTCTTCTAGTTGTTGGCTCATTATTGTCACTACTATTTGGGAGGAAGAAAGTCATAGGGAATCTTAATATCTTGTGCTTTATTTGCTTTCTCAATCAAGGGGAAAGGTTTAAGAGTTCAAGTTCTAACTAGCTTTGATGGCGAGGTAATAAGAAGGGCTTCACTGATGATGACATCACTTTGGTGATCATTCTTTATTTTTCTCATTTTGCCAACCCTAGAGATTGGTCAGAGATTGAGTTGATTTCTACAGTTCCACTTATTGTGGCCCCAAAGAGAGAACTGGAAGCGGCGTTCTACTTGCCATGTGCTCTGTTTTTGTATTTTTGTTATTGTTTCCTGAAAGCATCTTTACAGTCCATTCTCTTCCCGTCCATTCCTTTCTTGATATTCACTTGGTAACTGGTATGCTTTCATATGCTCATTGTTTATAAGCTAATCTACATATACTTTATGCATTTTTGTTTCCATGTGGATTCTGTTAGTGGCAAGAAAAAAAGTTAATTTTCCTTGCATCTTACACAAGACAAAATACGCCTATGCATGCATGTCCTCCTGTTGAGGCAGTGAGATATGGTTGTCGTATTTGGTACAAATAGAAAAAGTCATTGTAAGATTTCAGTGGTCCCACTTCTTGGAGCCTGATCTGTTGTCTTTGTATGGATCTTTGCATAATATTCAAAGTTCACTCAGGGTTAGAGGTATCGTTTGTGGGAAGAACCTATGTTTGGTTCAAAATCTTTGTCTCTTGATGGATTAGAATGCGCTTGTTGATTGAGTAAACCAAAATCCCATTTGCTTTGACTGATACTGCTACTGCACTTGACTATCTCCTTCCTACATAAAAAAAGGTAAAACATATCTAATGCTATTTCACAGGAAAATGATGCACAATGCATGTTTGGGATGTTGATATATTGTCTAGATTGCTTATACAGTGCCGTCAGAGGGCACGCAAAGACAACCGGTGAATGGCAATGGTGGGGGTTTATTCATGTGTTTCTGTTTCAGCTTTTTGATTGTAAGTTGATCTGCGAAGCAACTAACCAGTAACATAAATGTGATGAACAGTTTGAAACAGGATATAATTGATTTGGGAAAGCCTGGTCTTCAAACTGCATACAAGCTAATTGTGACAGCACGCATGGAACGGGTGTACGACTGTTTGCTTCCTTCACTTAAGCGCCAATAGTTCTTTATCTTTTCTCTTAAGCAAAAAAACATAGGAAATTCGTTCCCCTGCCAAGATTTGTGAGGGGCATAAAATAATTTTGATCCTAGGTTTAAGACAGCCAAGCCTTCCCATAATTTGTATTTCAGATTCCCCTGCTTACTGCTTCAAGTGAAATGGTGCCTGAATGAAACGTTGTGAATTTTGAATTGAATGATTTAGGAATCTTGCTGCTCATGGTCTTGCTTTTGCTTTGAGTTTGTTTTCATTTTCCTTTAAACCGAAAAAAATCTCCTTTTTGTATTTTTTTTTCTATAATTTAAGGAAAGAAGATTTGTTTTTTTTTTAAAAAAATAAATAAGTCAATGTTCGAATGTCTTTTTTGTGCATTTCAACGACCAAGTACTGCTCTTTTTCAAACTTATGATAGCTTTTATATTATTTGATTTTATGTCTTTAAAATTAAATTCAAATTCTGTTGTTCTTTTTCCAATAAAAAAATAGAAAAGAAGTCTTATCATACATCCTCGAATCTAGAAGAAAACCATGACAATTATAATAATTATCTTTTAATAAGTCTAATGAAGTTTTTAATGATTTTCCAAAATACATTAAATATTTGGGGCAAATAAATGTGGAAAAAATGAAAATAAAATGAAGTTTTGCAGTAGGCAACAAGGCCCGAAGAAAGCCCAGCTCGCTAATGGCGCCTCCTCTATCACCGTGGCTCCCCCTGTATAACAACAATACAAAGACGATGATAAGGCGTGAAGCAAATTTTCAAGTCTGCTGGAAAATCTTTTGATGAGAAAAATGATGGAAGGAGTAGTTGTAAAGCTCCCTTCTTTTCCTCTTTTAAACCCTACTATTCCTACTCTTTCTTCCTCATCTCTTCCTCTTCGGCTAGGCTTCCGCCGCTTCTCTGCTTCTCTTTCCGCCGTTAAAGAAGGCTCCGTTTCATTAGGCCACCATACCCGTCCCGACTTCCCCATCCTCCACCAGGTCCTTAAATTTCCCTTCTTTTCCTTCTTTTTTATTTTTTATTTTTTTTACTTCACTTTATTAGGTTTTTATTGAATTTGGCAGGAAGTAAATGGGTCTAAACTTGTGTACTTAGACAATGCGGCAACCTCTCAAAAACCCACGGCAGTGTTAAAAGCTTTGCAAAATTATTACGAAGCTTACAATTCAAATGTTCACAGAGGAATTCACTACTTGAGGTACTCCCTTGGTGATTTTGCTTAAAAATATTGGCTCGAAAACGTTAAATTTACAAAAAAAAGTGAGTTGCGTATGTTATCTCATTATTTCAATAGAAAGTTACTACAGTAAGATGCTATATCATGTCTATGAAGTAGTTGTTCATGAATTTTTCAAGTTAAGTTGAGTACTGTTTCATTTTTATTTTTGTTATCTTTCTTCTGTTTTCGAAAGGAAAATTTTCTTGAATAAGTAAAATTAAAGATTTATTTTTGTGATAATATATAAAATGCATGATTTTACTATTGTAGAGAACAAGTATCGTTGAATGTATGCCTCATTTTACGTTTTAATCAAATATTATTGCTTTATGGTCATATTATATCGAAGAAAAAATATATAGCCATATTTATAATACAAATATAAAAGCTTTTTAAGATGTTTTTCTACATATTACTAATTGCAATTTATTTATATTGATGGCTCATTTTAGGTTTTTATTTAATTTAAGTTGGGTCAAAAAGAAAATTACTGAAAAATTTTATTATTAAATAGCTATATGAAGTTAAATTGACCCCACTTAACTATATGTGGCTATGCCCCTGAAAATGCATGATATTTTACTTTTATATGGAATAATTATGTTAAAACTGGTATTGCATTTTAGTTTCTAGCATTTGCTTTTGCTTTTAAATAAGTATCTTTCTAGAAAAGTGAAATCAAATAGCAAAGAGTAGGTAGCAAAAGCAACAATCAAAGGAAATTATCTTAACCCTTTGTTTTCATTTGTGTTATTTTGGTTATTCATATAGTGCTAAAGCTACGGATGAGTATGAGTTGGCGCGAAAGAAAGTGGCAGCTTTTATTAATGCATCGGATTCGAGTGAGATTGTTTTCACAAGAAATGCTACTGAAGCTATCAATTTAGTGGCTTACTCTTGGGGTTTATCAAATTTAAAGCCTGGGGACGAGGTTGTGTTATTTGAATTTTGTTGTTTGTGTTTTTTATCCGTAGGGTGGTTGTTATTTTGATTTGAATTGTAATGGTATGAGAATATTTTTGTTCTTGTAGATTGTTCTTACGATTGCTGAACATCATAGTGCAATTGTTCCATGGCAAATTGTGGCTCAAAAGACAGGTGCGGTTTTGAAGTTTGTGAGTTTGGATGAGAACGAAATTCCAAATGTAGTAAAGCTGAGAGAGATGATTTCTACAAGGACGGAACTTGTAGTTGTTCATCATGTTTCTAACGTGCTTGGTAGGTATTTTTGGCATAATACTTTAAAAAGTCTCTGAATTATTCAAGAAAATTCAAGTAAGTTTTTATTCTTTTATTGCTTTCAATTAAACCCTTGTACTTTTATTTTTGACTAAATAAGTCTTTATGATTAACTTTTAACTAATTATCATTAGTCAAACTGACATATGTAATTTTTATGTCCTTGTGACATTGATGTGGCATTGACATAGAGGTTGAAATTACCATGTGACCACATTATCATGCCACACTAACATGTCATGTTACCATTTTTTATGACATGTCATCATGCCATGTCAATATCACATGATATAAAAAATGACAAAGGTCATTTTGACTAACAATAGTTAGTCAACTGTTAGTTATATGTGTTTATTTGGCTTAAAATAAAAATATGAGGGTTTGATTAAACACAATAAAAAAATGCAGATTTATTTGAATTATTCCTAATAGTTTAGGATTTTTTTAAGTATTATTTTTTTTTCCATTGACTGTTTGTGTTTTCTTATAGGTGCTTTTGTTGGCATTTGATATTGATTAAGAAAATGTTTTAGTGGCTTGATTTTACATTTATTGAGAATGTAGGCTATAATACTTCTGTTATTTGCTTTCCAAAAAAAAAAAATACTGCTGTTATTTAAAGGTATTCCTATTGTCCATCCAAATCCACCCAGTTTTTGTTAGCAATATCCCTGGATAACCAAGAGGTAAAGTTGGCTGCACTGATTGCCATCAGTTGCTGACATCTGCCCAATACCCCAACCCAGCCCAAAAAAATAAGGAAGAAGAAAACCCGACTGATAGGATAAAGAGGAAAGAACAAGGTTATTATGGGAGGCTAGTGGTCATGGAATTCTTAGATTAATTTCTCTTCATCTGATTGCATCATATTCTACTAAAGTTATTGATTTCTAATCTCCTTTTTTCTCCCCAAAATTTATCTAATTATGCTAATATTTGATGGCATGGTCATATTTATTGCCAAAACTCTTTTACCTGTAGGTTCTGTACTTCCAATTGAAGAAATTGCGCACTGGGTTCATGAGGTTGGGGCAAAAGTGCTTGTAGATGCTTGTCAAAGTGTTCCCCATATGGATGTTGATGTCCAAGGTCTTGATGCTGACTTTCTTGTTGCTTCTTCTCACAAGGTTAGTTCGTTATCTTATGCATGATTAAGCCATATGGGCAAGTATATGAAGTTAAGGAATAAACATGCCTCAGATGTGTGGGCCTACAGGCATTGGATTCTTATTTGGTAAGAGTAACCTCTTGTCAGCCATGCCTCCATTCTTAGGTATGCCATTACTTACATTTTTCTTTTTCAAAGTTCAATTGTTATTTGCAGGACTTCTGTAAATCAGTATCTGTGGGAATAGAGGCATGGATGTTTAAAGCTGATCCTGGTAAATGTTTTCCTCCTTTTAGGTGGTGGAGAAATGATCTCTGATGTATTTTTGGATCATTCCACATATGCAGAACCCCCTTCCAGGTTAGTGAACTTATTTCATCTTCAGTATCATTTAGTAAGTAAGTTTGAGGATGGGAGGGACTTTAGCAGCTTTGTACATTGTTTGAGTTGTGTATTCATGATTAAGGTCGTTTTTTGATAGGAGACATTTAGTCCTGAACCCTAAGTCTAATAGCAATTAAGTTATTATTGGCTATTTAGCTGTCTGCTGAAAGGAATTCCTTCTCATTTGATTTACAGGCACGTGCCATTCAAGTAGTTTTTGGTCTAAATATTCAGTATTTTATTTCTTATCATGACTTATTTTGTTCTTGCTCTTTAACTGGATTAGATTTGAGGCTGGAACACCTGCAATTGGGGAAGCAATTGGATTAGGGGCAGCAATTGATTACTTGTCTGGGATCGGCATGCAGAAAATTCATGACTATGAGGTGCGATGCATTTTTCTGCTTTTTTCCTCGGGATCCTGATTTAATGCTTGATGGACAGATAAATGACACACATATTTGTTGGCTTTAAAAATTAAAAGAAATACAGTCCAAATCAGTTGGTTATGAATAATTAAGGAAGCAGTCATTATTTTATGCTATGGTTTTTCATCTTTCCTTAGATCTTTGTTGACTAATTTTATGTTTCTGGAATGAATTAAATTATGTCTCCCATAAAAATGCTTCTTCTTTCTTCATAATGATAATCATATGATTGGACTTTAACTTGTTCTCTTTTTTAGTCATTTTCTAGGAGGGCTAGATGGATTTAGAAGTCACTTTCTGATAAGCTGGGAATGTTTTTATTCTGACAACACTGGCCATTTTTGTTTTATAGATGGAGCTGGCTAATTATTTATATGACAAACTATGTTCTGTTCCGAATATTCGGATCTATGGCCCAAAGCCTGCAGAAACTGTTTATCGTGCTGCTCTCTGTTCTTTTAACGTCGAGAATATTCATCCCACAGATCTTGCAACTTTTCTGGATCAACAGGTAGCATAACAAATTAGGAATAGCACTTTAATACTGTTGTTTAGGTTTTTGCTATCTTTTATTTTATTCAATAAATATTATGAAGCTTGGTTTGGCATTGTGGTTAGTCTTGAAAACTGTGTTTGAAACATTGTGGTCTGGAAAACCACTTAATTTCTCGAACTTCAGTTTTGTTTTAAAAGTCTAAATTTGCTTGGCATTTCATTTGTAGTTCCAGCCAACCTGTGGCGATTTAAATGCAATGCAAGACAATCTGTAGTTTATGCACAATATATTTGAAGGATTTTTGTTTTTTCTGAATGGCAACTAATTTTATTTAATCTCAGCATGGAGTGGCTATCAGATCAGGCCACCATTGTGCCCAACCTCTCCATCGCTATCTGGGAGTGAATGCAAGTGCACGTGCCAGCCTTCACTTCTACAACACTGAAGAAGATGTCGATGACTTTATCAGGGCACTCAATGACACAGTCAGCTTCTTCAATTCTTTCAAGTAGTACTGTTGATTAAATAGTGTTCCAATTAAGATTGTGTGAACCAACCCTGTATACTATTTTAAAGTTTATGAATAATAACTTTTTCATTTTTTACACTCATATCTTGTATAAGTGTTTGGTCTCTTTTGTGATTGACAAAGATTATGTAACAAGTCGACACATCCCGAAAATCAATACTAGAAATTCACTGCATTTTGCATGCACAAGGGTGGAGTTCTTATCCCCTTTTTCAGTCTTACTGATATATGTATGAACTGGTTAATGTCTCTTGTTTTTCCAAGTGTTTGGTTTGTGGGATTATATAGACAAATCAGGAAAAGTTTAAGATATGCTGCTCTTGAATTGTGTTAGGTCTCTGCTTTGTGGTAGAGGAAAATATTCAAACCAGTAAATATGAGAAAGATGCTTTTCAGTTTTCCCCTCCGCTGTATTATTGTACGGTTACACTTTCACAGCTAGCGGCCCCAAGACCCAAGTTAAAAAAACGCGTTACCATCTTTGGGTTGAGTCAAGCAATGAGATGATTAAAGCTGACTTGGACACCGGGCATTGCCCTCATTTCCTCTATTGACTGATGACCAAGACATAAGCTTTGCTGTATTGTCACCCCAGAAAACAGTTATCCGCAAAGAGCACTGGTGATGGTAATTGGCTGTAATTGATCTCAAGTAATTATCACAAGTCGAAACGATGAAAAGAATAAGGAAATTTAAGGGAATATATCTCCCAACAAACCAGAATTAGAAGGTTCAAATTCTAGCAAATCTGATCTTATACAAAGGAAATTTCGAGTGCCTAACAGAAAATCGTGAAATTTATCATCACAAGAAGAAGAAAGTTTTCTATTCTATAATTATCAGTGTTGTCCCTCTGGCATATATTGAGATTCTTGTGGAAGTAACTCCCAAACCAATCAAATGGATGTCCATTACTTCTGCTCTACCAGACTGATGATTTGGGCGTGTCCAACCTTCTTCCTTAACTCTGTAGTCAACTTGATAGCATCAACACCATCTCCAATCACCACAACTTTGTTTTTCTCTTGTCCTTCCAATCCAACATAGCTGACGCCTGTTTTTCCAGTTATTTAATCATCTCAGCTCTCGAGTTTTAACGCCAAAAACAAAATAAATTAAAGAAAACAAGACAACGGAATGACTCAGTTACGTACCGTCTTGTTTTGCAGCCACCTTGAGGGACTCCTTCCGGCATTTTTGGCACTTCATAACCACCTCCAACACCACCTTTTGCTGCATAGTCATCGTGCATCATGCATCATGCATCATGCACAACAAACACAGATCAGTACCAATATAAATCAGTAAACCCAAAGCTAGAGTTTATAAATATTAGGAGTAAATAACAGTATTTTCTGCATGAAACCAAAATATTACCTTCATTGTGTCTCTTCCTTGCCGACTCCTAAGAAGTAAGTATAAGCAGATACTACATGCAAGAATCTCTTATTATAGTGATTGGGAAAGCCAGCAGACGTAGTACCCAAGTTTCCTCTCACTGTTTGTTGTCCAATTTTTGCTGATTCCACGAAAGGAAGTCATGTGGGTTTCTGTACTTGTTCCGATTTCCCAACACCATCTATTACATGTTTTTACCAATTCAATTAAGACCGCGTACCCATCTCCTTCGTGTTCACAACCATATAGTCTATAGTATATAATATAACTATAGAGTCAGTTAATTTCAAGAAAATTTATTTCATCATAAGGGGTTAATAGATAGCAAAGTTACATCTCTGTCTCCATGGAAAAAGCATTTACGCTTGTTTGGTTTCAAGAAAAATTATAAGAAGAGGAATATCGAATTTCATTTTCTTTTTTGTCTTATTTTCTTTGAATCAAACGTGACCTTTAATTAAATAGAATTTTTCGTTAAAAAAATTATGCTAATATAAATAGCAGCACTATGATATATTTTTTTTATAGAGGTAGGCTCAACACCTGCAACGGTTTTGATCAAATATATTCAAAGATTAAAGGCTAACAGGCTTCTCATGTGTTGGTCACCTAACATTCCTAAAAAGGCTTGAGCATTTTGTATAAAATTAAATGCATATATATACATATATATATATATATTTTTTCTATTAAAAAATTAAATTTGAATATTTTATTTTATTTTTTTTTAAAAAAAAGATTGTATCTTTTGAATTACACATTACTTTATTTCTATTGCTTTTGAAGTTGAAAATAAAGTAATCTTATATAATTCGTCTTCACTGATTTTAAACAATTCACCCAAGTGTTTAGGCCTCTTATTTCATATTGAATTCTCATTCAATTTAAGATTTTTACCTTTTTCCTCACCAATTTAAGAAACATTTACTCCCCTGATTAATGGCCCCCAAACCCTATTTTCACAAATGCTAATCACTTTTCCTGATGTCAAATTGCGCTATTTACTAAAAGCTTGTTACCAATTTTTTTTTTTAAAGGGAATGAATGAATATAGAAAATCACCAATGGATAAACAAAGTCAACCAGTCTTTCTAAGTTATAAAAATTAAAAACATAATTTATAATTTATTGTGCAGTAAATATAAGTAAATTGTTAAAAGAAAAAAATGTGAAATTTGTTTTAGTATTATAGTTAAAACTTACAAAAAGAATTTATTTATATAAATCAAAGAGAAAATACCAAACTGAATGAATGAAAGGGTGTTTTAGTTACTAAAATAATTTAGACAAAAAAAAAGATGTAATAAACTTTTATTGAACTAAATAAATTAACATGGTTTACTGCTTGTTAACATTGGCCTTGCATTAATGCACCTCTTAAGCATTTCGTTGGACTAATAAAGTGAACACAACAAAAATGCCGTCAAGGAAGACAATGACACTTTTGATATGAATTAAAAAAAAAATAAAAAAATAAAATAGAATAGAAGTCTTCGTCAACTCTAAGTCTCCTTAGAAAATTGAAACTTAGGAATGAAGTGCGAAAGAGCAGTTGGTACCCATATTTTCGTAATAATTAAAGAGTGACTTTGACACTCACATGACCTAATTAACTTGAAAATGCATTTTGGGTGTCTGATTTAATGGACTATATGTATATTATATATATTATGTGTATGAAAATTTTAAATTGAATATAAAAATCTCAGATATCACTTGAAAAAACTATTAAACCCAACATAAAAATAATAAAGTAAGATTTAAAAAACTATTAACCTAATATTAAAAAAAATCAAATGTTAAAAAAATGATAACTAATATGATATGCGACTCAAACTTTAAATATTAGAGGTGCAATAAAATTATTAAAATAATTTCAACAGAACAATGTTCGTCTACATCAATTAACATGTAAAACTTTAAATATTATCAATTGTCATTTTTTTTTTGAAAAATGGTTTTATTTGTCTTCAATCTGAAAATATCATTTCAAATCTCTCGTCTCATTGACTGAAGATTCTATGAAATTGTCATCAATTGTCAATTAATAACATTGGAAGTATCGGATGGATAAATGAATTTTGAATGATATGTGACTCAAATTTTAAAAACTATAGATATAATTTACAAAAAAATTAAAAAAAATAAATTACGTTGAAAATAAAGATAAAAAAGCAACTTATGGATACAGAAAATGGTCAGCGTTGCACAATTTGGTTCGTAAAATATCCTTCTTTCTTTTTTTTTCTTCCACCCTCGATCCATTCTTGCAATTTCATGAAACTTTTGCACTTATTTGCAGATTTGTTTTGTTGAGTTGGACTCCTAATTAAAGGCCACAACTTGTTTGTTTGTTGATTGTAGGAGAGTTTCTCTAATAAATATTTATCTATAAGTGTGAATAGACCTCAGTATTACGTGATCTAGGTGGTGTAAAGGGGATGATATTTTGTATAGAAGGGTTGGGACGTCTACTGGTGCTTTTGTTTACAAGTTTCTGAGCAGAGGGTTTAGACTGCTTTTCCTACCAACCCTGACCAAGGTTGGATTTACCTTAGAGGGAGTGGTGTTATTTTCTAAATTTGTTTACTTATTATATTATTAATTTAAAGTTTTATATAGTTAATATACTAATGAATCCACTAATTTTTTTTTGTAATTTTGTAAAGATTAGGGTCAAAGATTCAAAGAAAAAATAGATTTATCAAAAAATAATTTATATATTAATATTTAAATTCTATATGAAAAGATAAAAAAAAATTATTTCTATAACTTTCTACTTAAAAATTCAAGTTTCACTCTTCTCGATCCTTATTTTGTTTTTCACTCTCTTAAAACAATTTATCTAAATTTCAACTCAAATTGAGTCCTTAAATACATCATTTCGAAATATTTTTTTAATTAATTTAATAGTTTGAGTTCATAATTATAATTTAGCTAATAGACAATAGTTTTGCATATAAAATAATATCTTAAAATTATGAGTTTTTTTTAAAATTTATTTTGTAGATATAATCTTTGATTATTTGATTTTTATATTTAATTTTATGTAATTTATGGATATTTATACTTAGTTTTGATTACTGAATAAAAATTTATCGAATTGTTAATTGTTGAACTTGATAATTTGTTATGCAAGATTATGTTTAATTTAATTTTAATAATTTAGTTTATATTAATAAGAAATGAATAATAAATTTTTAATATATTTTTAGATACAATTTCTTAAAAAGATATTTTAAAATATAAGAAATTATCTTATTAAGTCTTGATCAACAATAACATAATTCTATTAATGATGATATTCAATAATCTTTTAAGCAAAATCATATCAAATTTGATTAATTGGTAAATCTTGTATTAAGGGAAATTTTTTTTTAATTATTATTTATTATTTTAATTATAATAGTATTAAAAAAATTTTGAATTCGCCCTGCTTGACCCGTGAAGAATGTGTAGGGATAAAACTCAACTTTCAGAAAAAAAGTGTGAATAGACAGCCCGCAGCATTTATGTACTTGGCCCCTCGGTTGCTTGAAGATGCGTGTGCGACACGATATGATAAAGGGCCCTAGAAGAGGAATCAATGAAAAAGCCAGGGTAAGCTTCAATGTCCGCCCAAGCGAGTATCCGCAGCACTCGATGGCTTGAGGAGCAGCCCGCCAAAGGAAAACGTGGAGACGGTAAACTCACCAGTCTGTCCGTCAGGCACACCGTGAGTACCTTACTCACCTTTCTTGATTATTTTTCGCTCTGCTAGAGGGGAAATAGGCTTGACTTAGGAATCTTGGGAGTTCGGACACGTGAGGGATGCCTAAAGCTGCATGAGATTGAGGTTAAAGTCTCGACACGTCACACTTTATAGCCGTTTTAACATTGTTTAGTTATGGGATCCATTAATTAATTTGGACCTTAATTGCTAATCTAGCCATATATAGGCCATGTTCAATCTTTGGCCCCCTTTTTTTTTTTCTGTTTTTCTTTTGGACGATTTTTTTTTCTCCCTACATTGTTAAAAAATGTTCAAATAGAAAACAAAGAATAAAAAAAACATGGCTTGGTGGTTTTTCAATGCGATTAGGGGCATGTACAACATACAGTGCTGAGTTTTGGGGAATATATAAAGATTTACTACTTGCATGGGAGCTGGGTTTTAGAAAAATCATTATACAAGTAGACAGTTTGTTAGTAGTTCAAACGATTATTTCTTTCGGTTCACACCCATGTCGAAATTTTAATCTGATCAATGTAATACATAACTTAATGGAATGAGAATTGGAAGTCATCACAAAGCATATCTATAGAGAAGGAAATCCTTGATTAATTTTTTAACGAATTTAGATTTTGTGATCACAAGCATTTATTTTGTTTTTTATTCTCCTCCTTCAGGAGCAAGCAATTTTATGATGTATGACATGTTGGAGATTTATCTCTTTCGGTTAATAAGAGAATAAAGAGTTTATTTAAAAAAAAATTAAGGAAACAAGAAAATATTAAATGTTAAATTCACTATAGCTCACTTAGGCTCTATTTGGTCGATTTTTTTTTTGCAAAATAAATTGATTACAAAACAAAAATTAAAAAATAAATCAAAGTTAAATATCAATCAAAGGAAATATAAATTTGTATCAAAATTTTGAATTATAATTTATGCCAATCAGGTCATTGCATTAAGTTTTTTTGTATTCTAAATATTGTCTTAATTTCAAACAAAATAATTGATAATGAAAAGATAAAGTAAAAGTTGAACAATTACCGCCACGCCTAAAGAAAATCAACATAAATTGTAAGATAATATATTTAAACGTCATGTTAAAAAATGTAATTGGTATACGAATGTTGAAAATATCCTTATTACATATTATGTTGAAGATTTAGTTGTTACACGTTATGTTGAAAATTTAATTATTACATGTTATGTTGAAAAATGTAATTGTTACACGTTATATTGAAAATTCAATTGTTTCCCGTTATATTGAAAAAATTAATTATTACATACTATGATGAAAAATTATTATACGATACGTCATACTTTGAAACATTTTAACCTGACAGAAAAAATTTTCTAAAAAAACTATCCTTTCATGTCTTAATCTTTGATATCTTGCATTTCCAAATTAGTGTTCACGCCATGT